TCGAGACTACATTCCAAAAAGGATGAGGAAACCTTCTGGGATCAAGGCTAAATGAATTTCAATTGAATCAGAGGGCCTCTTTATAGGATTGTGAACAAAACTCTTCTATCCGTCCTTTAATAACCCCTTAGCGACCCATGATGGCTGGGTTCTGATTACAACTATTTTTTGTGTCTACTGACTTTAGTAGCATATACTTTGAGATTGGGTTGCAATCGTAGGCAGTAAAAAGAATGATTATGAGACAATGATGAGATGATTTAATAATATTTCGTATAGGGTGATTAAATATTGGTGGCTGAATTTTTCCACAATGATATGAGTACAGCTGACGTTTGCATTGAATTTCACATGGCCTTACTTTCCCAAAAGGTGTTCTCATCCTCGCCTAGGTCATATCAACACCCCCAGCAGGAGTCGAACCATGACAGTGTAATGTTTAATCTCGACAAGGTAACCACTACGCCATATTGCCACGAGTGCCCTCGGGTTACAGGGCAAATGCGAATTTTGAGAAAAGCCAGGCATTTTCCCATATCACATTTTTTGGTGTGATTGTCGATGAAATAAAGATATATATTTGCTATGATAATCAACTACATTACTTATTTTACGTTTATAAGTAGGGTCTCGAGACTACTAGTAAATCAGTTATATGAGATGTATTCACTCTATTTCGTTTAAGGTGATGAAGGATTGGGTGAATACATCTCATATAACTGATTTACTGGTAGTCTCGAGACCCTACTTATAAATGAAAAATGATTATAAGATTTACTCACTAGTTTATGCTGTTCGGAATATTGCTTCTGATTTGCACAGTCTCTTGTTCGCACAAGGCATGGCGGCGAGTTTCGCACCAGACTGCCTTCTAGTGATCATCTGCCGTCGGTTAGCCGTGCCTCGAACTTTTCTGAGGCATCCGAAGCGCCCAGCATCGGCCCGTCAGCAACACTATCACTTGCTGTAAGTGGAGTCTCCGTGGGTCTGGCTGGTGAGCTGAGGTCGACGACAGGCCACCGGCGTACAGCAGAGCGCGCTGATCTGATGCCGGAGGGTCAACGAGACGGTCGTCAGTCGAATGAGGCTAATGAGGTCGCCAAGAGGGACAGATCTGAGAGAAGAGGAGCAGGAGGAGGCGGAGAAAAAAGGGTTGCAGAGAAGAGAGACAGTGGAACAGAGGCACAGATTCGAGGGACGGGAGAAAAAGGAGGTAAACCAGATGGTAAATTCTCAGGAAGAAGCGGACTAAAATACCTTTTCGAAGACGAAATGGAATGGACATTTTTGCTGAGGTTGAGAATTCCTAGATGCACCAAATACCAAATTGTATCCTCAGTTCTAGCAAAATTTTAGATTTTTAAGTTCTCAAGATGTGCGTCAAACTTAAATGTCTAACTTAATTAGTTACAGACTTTTATGAAGGCCCATCAGACTCGTCAGCAGAATACAACAGAAGGCGTGCAACGAATACTAGGAATTGTTCAATCGATGCATGAGGATAAGAAAGTTGGTAAAAATAGGCCAGAGTTGTATAATAGTAGGAGTTAAATTTATTCCATACGCCTAAGTAAGATTATATTTAATTTTGATTGGATTGACTTTCATTTTTACACAAGTGCTCAATGAAGGGTCGGTCTTATCAAAGTGCGATGAAAGATTTTATTTCGTCTCCTCTAGTTAGGCCATACCGGAACATTTATGTTGGCACTGTTATCGAAGCACATTTATTCATTTACGACGTTTAGGGTCTCCACATAAACTACGGTGGCCCGAGGACGGCATCGCTACCAGATTTTTGTTGAGGTCCGACCACAGCCGATCAAGGAGACTTTGAAGTCGTTTTCTGGTGTGGCCAATGACCTGGCAATTTCACACATAATCAGTATCAGTTCAACAGTGATATATAAAATTGATTGTATGTACCTAATTTTTATTCATAGACACATATGACTAATATTAATAAATATTAATTTTATGCCAGGAGTTACAAGCGGGTATATATAGGTATTAATTAACCAATGGGTTATAAGAAAAGTTATTAAAATCCTATAAAAATGCTAAATGCTGCTTTCCTTTTATATGAACATTTTTAAGACATCCTATATTTGCATGCTTCTGCAATGACTGATTAGAGACTTAGGGAGCCTACATCTTATCAATCTAAGTCTAAATGAAACTAAAAAATCTGCTTCATTTGGTAAAGGCATTGAAACTAGATTTTCACTAGATAATAGTTCTTGTATGAACCAACATTGGATCTTTGTGAGACAATAAAAAAGAATACATTGAGTCCTTAATTTATAGATACGAAGCGTAGTTGGGTTTTGATGAATCTTCTGAGATAACATCGTTGGGGAGGTTTTTGCTTCGTTTGAAAGTGCATAAGGAAGAGATTCGAAAGTCAATCTCACCAGAAAAGGATGGCTTATTCTGGTTGTACTGCAGCTGTTTGGCTCTAATTCGACGTTCAGGTTGACGCAGTCCACGATACATACTATCATTTTTTGGGTGAAAACGGGCTGAGCGTGAGATAGAACTATCTTAGACGCAGAGGTTTGCTGATCATGCTAGTCTGCTACAAAACGCAAGATAAGGGAGGCCATTGAAATGTTACGAAGTAGATTGAATGTAGGGAATAATCCTTAATTTTCAGTCTCACCATAACAACAGAATGAAGATCGGAATACTGAGGAGTTTGATCATCAGAAGCTCACGACTAACGGACAATGAGTTCTGGGACGAGGAGTTGGACAAACTGACAAAAATTTGCCTTAGTAATGGATATCCCAGAGAATTTATAGAAAAAAATGAAGCGATTATAAAGGGCCGATTTTGACTTGGATTTTATGAAAATCAGATCAGGAATGAGGATAAAAACCACAAAAAGATTTGCCTACCCTCATCAGAACTGAGCCAACAATTGCGACCGTTACTAAGGAAATGGAAGATCAAGTTGATAACAAAGGAGAAGAAAACGCTTTTCACAGTCTGCCGACGCAACACGAGAAGACTAACAAACTTGATTGCTCGGGAGTTTGTCTCATTAAATGCAGCAACTGAGAGCAGAAATATATCGGCGAAACAGGAATAAAAATCGACCTACGATTCAATGAACATCAAAGACTCTGCAAGAACATGGATACCAAAATATTCGAAATAGCGGAGCACTTTGCACGAACGGGACACGAAATCGACTGAAAATCGACCGAGAGGCTGGCTGTATATGGTGATAATACGAGAAAACGCAAGATCGGAGAGGGCATCGATATACTAACGGAGAGAAATCTAATGAACAGGAAACTTGAAGAAGGCAGGATCAGCGAAAACTTTGTGTATTGCCTAAGCAAATTCGGATAATACCAGGCAACAATGAGTTCAGCAAAAAGAAGACGACTATATCAAGGTTACATCCTTAATTTTAGAAAAAGAAATTGCAGGAAGACCAGAAAGGAAAAATCAGAATCCAAGAGGAGACGTCTTCAGTGAGCCTAATCAAAACAAGTAGAACCACCACATTTGTAGGTTGGCACACAGGAGACTAGGATGTAGGAAGTGATAGACATGGCATTACAGATAGAAACAGGAAAGACGTAGTGGAGACTAAAGCTATTTGGCTGACAATAGACGTGTTTGATAAGAGACGTGATCCATGAAGCACGTCTATTTTTAGTCAACCATCTCTAGCCCCCACCTCATCTATTCTGCTTCTATCCGTAATAACAAGTCTATGACTTGCTATGCCCTAGTTTCTTGTGTGCCAACCCACATTGAACCTAATCAAAGTAAACAGTACCACCCTACTCTAATACGAAACTAGGAGAAGACCAGGCAACAGGAAGATCAGCAAAAATAAGACGACTGGAACAATATAATATCCTTAATTTTAGGAAAAGAGATCGCAGGGTATGAGAAAGCAACAATCAGAAGCAAAGTGGAGACATCTTTAGTGAGTCTGATTAAAACATGTAGAACCACAACATTTGTGGGTTGGCACACAAAAGACTAGGATGTAGGAAGTGATGGACATGGTATTACAAATAGAAACAGGAATGACGCGGTGGAGAAATAAGCTATTTGGCTAAAAATAGTCGTGTTTGATCATAGAAGTGATCCTTAAATCACGACTATTGTTAGTCAACTAGCTCTAGCTTCCACTGTTTCTATCCTCTTTTTATCTCTAATACCGAGTCTATGACTTGCCATGCCCTAGTTTCTTGTTGCCAACCCACAAACGTTGTGGTTCAACATTGAACCAAATCAAAACAAGCTGTACCACAACATTTGTGGGTTGGCACGCAATCGACTAGGGCATATCAAATCATATACTTGGTATTAGGGATAGAAACAGGATAGACGCTGTGGAGACTGGAGCTAGTTGGCTGACAGTAGGTCTGTTGTACCATAGACGTGGTCCATGTGGCAAAGGCC